GTGGGGGGGGGGGGGGGGGTTATTTGCTGGTACAGTATTTACATTTGTGTGATAAACAACTTGGGACACTGTACCTTTTTGCTTGAAGCCACCCACTTTTCAAATGAGTAAATTATTAAATGACCTTAAAGTGACTAACATTGAATATTTGGTGGCATAACTCTTCCTTGTAGTAACCACATCAAGCGTACAACCCATTGACTTGGCCAGACTGCATTTTTCTTCATTTGAAATGCTTTTCCAGGCCTACACTGCAGCCTCTTTCAGTTTATGTTTGATTCCGGGGGGGGTTTCCCTTCAGTCTACTTGCATGCTCTATTGGGTTAAGGTCCAATGATTGACTTAGCTAATCTAATACCTTCTACCACCCCCATGATGAAGTCTTTTGTTGTGTTAGCAGTGAGCTTTGGGTCCTTATCTTGTTGCATGACTAGCTTCTCCCGTGTTCGCGAAGGGTTCGTTCAAGGTCGCAACCTTATTTTTATACTCATTGTACTTGTTTGTCGTAGCGCTGTGGGCCCTTGGCGAACAAAATATCACTCTGTTTCACATCGAATTGGCTGTCAAAAAAAGCTTGCTTGAACCTTCAAATCTAAAATGACAAAAACACGACTGGTAAAGCGCTCTTGATGGTAAGATATTTGATTTACAAGTATGCCTCCATGAAGCTCTGTGAGCAGCGCTGTCTCACCACATGGCTCGAGTTGAGTGTCAGTGGCTTTTTACATTCACTTCATGTCATCGTTTCTCACAATACGCACGCACACACTTTCAATGACCTAATGCAGCACATACGCTGCTTATACTTTACATATCCAAAGTGTTGCCATTTGTTTCCCTCGCAATTGATGCCCAATCATTATTTTCTACTCAAAAGCAGCTCATCTTTTTTTTTTCCTTCTTCCTGCTTGCAGAGTTAAATGACACGTTCAGTGACAACAATGACACAGTGGGACAGATTGTCCACTTCATCATGAAAAATGAAGGTATGTGTCTCACAATGATTTATTATTTTTTTGTGTTGTTTTTTTTTTTTTTTAAATTATTATTGTTATTACTTTTTTTTAGGATGATTCTCTGCATGCGTGTGCATCTTTGTAATTAAAAAGTGCCACTGCTTACAGTTAATATCCTGCCAGTTCCCGATGGGCCATTTATTGATTGTGTGGTTCAATGCTAAAACCTTTTATTAGACTCCGTGGCCGATAGCAGCGTACCACAGCCCTGAAACGATGTCGTGCTTGTAAGTAAATGGTTTGAATAAGCGTCAGTGGGTGCGGGTGTTCTACTGAAGCCCACCGTGGTGCGGGGCGATAAGAAAATGCTGCCGGCTGATAAGGCAGACTGAGGTGCACATCAGATGTCTTATGGGCGTTGGGTCGTGTGCGCTTACTCTCCACTAAAATGATTATCACTAGCTACATTAATCGTTTGAACCATAAATAAAGCACTTATTATGATTCACAAGCACATAAAAAAATTCCAACATTGTTTTACCGTTAAAAATGTGTCTTAGGTGAATCTAAAGTTTAATGGTATTCCACAATGCGTTCTTTTGGGCACTAAATCATGTAGCCTGTAAAGTCTGGCCTTCAAAATAAAAGCAACCCGGTATTGAAGCATAAACTATCATCTCTCTTAAGCACCGAATCTGCGCAGACAAAGTAGCCGCCAGCTGACATAAGTTGGACGGAAACGTGCCAAAAGAGGCATGCTAAATGCTAACTTGAAGGCTGTTACAATGGACCACAAATAGCATGCTAGTCTCAGCCATTTGTGTGAGGGCAGATGTTCAGGTGATGGAAAACTACTGCTATCGTTACTGTTTTTTTGTTGATAAATGTGTATCTTTTTCCGTATTCCAGCCAACTCGGATGCGCTAAAAGCCATGATTCATGACACCAGCATTGATTCTGACGGGTAAGCCTTCTTGTAATTATTGTCATCACCCGACTGTGCTTAAAAGCTACCACTAGATGGCAGTATAACCCTCCTTGGAAGCCCAAAGAGAGCCTATCAGGCCAAGTTTGTTCTGACACAGATTTTATTGAGAGCAGGCAGCTGTGAGTGTGTGGGTAGAAGGGTTGGGGGGAATCAGTCCTTAACACCCCACTGCCCCCATTTTTTTGTTTCATGTTTCGATACTGACCTAATTTCTCAAAATATAGCATGCACAGGCTCCCTGATCACACCACATCACTGGCAAAAACGTCTTGGGGAACCTAGAGAAAGCTATTTCCATAGAAATTGCATGTGAATGTTGAAGATTTGAAGCGGAACTGAAATACTTTCGAATTGTTCACATGTACACTTGAAGTTGGATTGATTTGAATGGGTCAAGAAGTGTAGAAGGAGGAGTTCAATATGCAAAGTAGTGCAAATTATGGAATTGTCGATGGTTTGAAACAAGTGTCAGTTCATGCAGTGTATTTTGAATGACCACAAAGGTATTTTGCAAGTTTTCAACACCTTGTGCAAGAGGATGCAGTCAGTACACAAGCGTGTCATCTGCATCAAGACGTAGTGCTGACACATTTTGACCAAGATTTTTCACATAAATGGAAATAAAAGCGGACCTAACGCAGAGCCCTGCGGCACACCCTGGTGAGCAGATGTAATATCTGAGCACTGACCATTATATCTATTGCACCTGACTGACTGCTAAGGTAGACACTCACGAAAGCGCTTCTTCTAAGAACAACATGGTCGACAACATTTTTGGATTGTGGAAAGTCACTTATAATGTCCCGAATTTTGTGAAACTTTTGAAATTTGAGCAGTTTGCAGGAATGTACAATATGGTTAAGAATTATTTCTTGGTGTGGAATAACGTGTGAATGACAACCAAAGTGCCCTGTGCTTTCTCCCTCCGAAGTGCGCCCATCACTCCCACTTCCCCCTTTACGCCCTCCCCTCCCATGACCCCCGTTTCCCCGGGAGCGCCCCCTGGCGCGGCCAAGCACACCTGCAACCACCTGCACACCATCGGCGGCGTCGGCGGCCACAAGAACATCTGCACGCGCTGCAGCCAGAAGAAGTGGCCGCTCATGAACAAGCCGGCTGCCCGCAAGGTGGAGCAGCGCCGCAGCCACCACGGAGAGGTCACGGTGTTGTCCGTGGGCAGGTAGGTGCCATTCACTCACTCGCTCAAGGTATGGGCAAAGAGGCCTTCAAATTAAAACGTCAAAAAACAAGAATGTTTTTCAACAATATGACTTTATCACTCCATATGCAGGATTTGACACAAGACCCCTGACTGGAAATGCATACTTGGAACCAGTGAAAGCACTGACTTTATCTTCACCATGTTTGTTTTCCCACTTCAGGTTCCGTGTGACAAAGTGTGACAAACCTGCCCGGGAACGGCGGATTCTGCTCGTGGCAGATTCCAACGGGAGTGTCCCATCCGAGGATGCTGTGTCAAATAGCCGGACAGTGTCCGAGTCCCAGGAGGTTGGTGCCCAGGAATTGTGCCTAATTCTTTCAGAAAAATCTCCACCAAACAAAAACAAAAAAATTACACGTGTAGAAAAAGATTAATGCCACCTAGTGGAAGAAGATTGAATTGCTCTGCCTGACCCAATACATTGTGACATAACAGATGATAAGGCATAGATACAGTTGGAACCTTGTTTAAAAAAAAAAAAAGACTGTTGGTTGAAACCCCAAGCAATATTTCCTTCAGGAAATAATAAAAATCTAATCAAACTATCCTAGACACCCCAAAAGATTGCATATTCTAATACAGTGTTTTTCAAACTTTTTTGAGCCAAGGCACACTTCTTTCATTGAAAAAATCTCGCGGCACACCAGTAGCTGAAAATGTGAAGAAAAAAAAAAAAAACGCTTATTTTACCAATTAACGTGTTATATTGTTACTATAACCGTTTTTAACATTGAAGAATGACGTTCTAACAGCTTGAATTGGAATCAAATGAACACAAAGAAAAAAATTATTTTATCATCTTTCATATTTATTGTTTCACTGTCGTCCTGCATTCATGCATCACAAATTCGCTTGTCTCTCGTCTAAACACAAGGCAATTGGCTAGTTGTTGCTACTCCCTAGCGGTATGGGAGGGTACTATACGATTGCTTTCTGGGCGATAGACCGCACAGGCATACAAATTGGATATTTTCCCGCGGCACACCTGACAATGTCTCACGGCACAGAGTGTGCCGTGGCACAGGGTTTGAAAAACATTGTTCTAATAGACAACACTCCCGGTCTGCCTGGCAACACCCAGTGGAGCAAAATTGACATCACAGTTCCTGTCAAAAATCTTGACCTTGAAAATTAAATGACGCCAATACAATGACAGCTTTGGTGGAGCTGTTTTTGTTAGATGGCGTGCCAATATTTGGAAGTGTTGCAACTTACGAAACCTTTTAGCTAAACACATGATGTGATTGCGGAGAATGAATGGTGGAATCACATGCATTTTTTATTTATTTTATTTTTATTTCCCAAAAAATGGTGACAAAATAGAGACGAAAAAAATTCCTTAAACTGAATTGTACGGAAATCAGAGTATACAAAAATAACAAGGTCCCACTGTCTGAAATTATTTGAAGTGAGTGAATAATTTTTAGGCCAACTATGTGAGATTGGATAATTTTCCACGGCACACTTGTTATACCCAGAATTTTTAGCTGCCTTACCTTCCGTCTTTCCTTTTTTTTTTTTCCATCTGAATCTTTTGCCTCTATGTTTAATCAGGAGGATAAAGACAGCTTGGATAAGGAGAAATGAGAGAAATCCAGGTAATTATTTAACTGCAGCGCCGACTTCACACATGCTCTCCCTCCGGTTATTCATTGATATTTTTCTTTTGATATTCCTTCTTTCTACAGCTTTCCCCGAGAGGAGACACTTTTAAAGCCTCCCGGCGCGAACGTCGACACATAAGAGCAATATCAGTGCGTGCACCACCCTCCCCACCACTCCCGCCCCAGCCCGTACGCTCCCCAACGGGACCAGTGACGCGCCAGTCACATGAGCCTCTTCTTATTTTCCAGCTCGGAAGGAGAAACGCAAATGTTTCTTTGTGATTTAACGTCTCCTCGCCAAAGACGTGCGACAGCACACGGACATGGTGCCGGAAGCAAACGTGCGTGCCAACATCTTTACTTGCTTGAATCGGTACGACCTGTCAGATGGAAACAGAAAGTAGGGATGAGATGCTGCCGTGGCCACAGGAAGTTGTCATCACGTGCGCCAGCCAGGAATATATCAATTAGTGCAAGTGTATCATTGACAAAGCTTGACTAGCTTCTATGTGCCAGTGAAATATTTTTAAAAAATGTTACATAAGGTCGGCCGACGTAAAGGCTCCATTTTACTGTTGTTACACGCCATTTCATTTTATTTGTATTTTCTCCATTTTCTTCCACAGCATACTTAGAATGCACTTATTCCCCCCCCCATTTTTTTTTTTTGATTTTATTTTTGTTATGAGTATGAGCTACCTTCCTACTCATCGGCATGAAGGGTTGATTGTTGTGTTGGGACGTTCATATGTGCTAAAAAGTAGTCCATTCCGTTTATTTTATTTTTTTCTCTTGTCTTCGGTTTGACTTTTATATACGATCGAGCCGAGTGTTTGATGCTGGCTGAAGGTCTGAAGTGATATAAAAGCAAGAGAGCGTTGACATCAGTTACCTTAAGTGTCTACCTCTTTTCACATTCTTTCGGGGTTATTCACCTTTCAAAGACATTTAAAAGAATATTGTTTATAGCATCATCGTCAATATCATCACATCAGTTTTTTTGTATGTATTACATATGTTTTTATTGTTTTATTTCTGCTGTGTTTTTTATTTAAAGACAAAAACAAAACATGGAAATAAAGAGCAATGTACACAGAGCTGACGTCATTGCCCTTACTTAAAAGGTCGCAGGTGTAAATGGGGGTTATAGCCCTTGTTGTGTCAAAAATAAGAGTCAGATGGAACTAGACAGCATTCTGAGAGCAGCGTTGAGGATGAGGGTGGTGGCGGTTGGACCAGACCTACATAACACGCCAATCTACGTCACCCCGCCCGCGGCTGTGAGCTTGAAGCAAAGCTGCCTTCCCCAAACACACAAGGTCGGGCGAGGCGCAGGCACAATTGCAAATATTGACTCCTGTTGTTTACTTGAGCTCTTCGCCAGGCGTGGGTATCATGCACAAAGTTTCAAGTTTAAGTCCAATCTTTTTTTGCGCCAAATATAAGCGGTTGTCTCAAGTGTTCAATTATTCAAGCCACCTCGGTGACGGGTGGGGAAGCCTTGGTCAATGATTAACGGCTGTGAAAACAACCATCTTGCCTCCGGCTTGAGCAACGTGGCTAAATGCAATTCCTACTGAAATCAATGTAATATTTAACTTGAGCCAGCACACACGGTGGGGAGGCGGGTGGGTTTTTTTTTTTTTTGCCACAGTGTTTTTCTCCTCCTCAGAGACATGTAAATGTGTGTGTGCTACAATTAAGGGTGACATCATTACCGGCAACAAAGCCTTGAGAAAAACAAACATATCAGGCAGAAGGATGCACTTCGGGGACCTTCCATGTAGCTGGCTAATGATTCTCGTTAAGGCCGCGCAAAAGCGCTCTTTTAGGCCGCTGGTGTCCATTTTTAACATGCAGGAAGTGGTCGCCCTCACCGCTGAATCTGTGCCACAGCTGCGGAAATATCTGCGACCTGTCAATTTGTCCGTAGGATCATCTTGTCCCTTTTGATTTTACAAGAAAACCGTGTGTAGGACAAACAACCAGAGGGAGATGGCCTGACTGACAAAGTGTCAAATCATATCATCTGACCTCTCACCTTGGACTTTGCTGAAACTGAGGCTGAATATCCCCCTGTCGGGGGGTAAAACAAAAATCCCATCCTTTGTTTGTCTGTGACTGGACGTAACACTAGAGAACAGAGGCTGAGTGGATTCAGAAGCAACACGAAAATTAGCAACATTTCTGATCAACAGGTATGTTATCTGTTCTTTTTGATTTTTAATTGATTATTCTTTGCCCCCCAAAAAAAATTCAAACTAATAACACTTATGAAAGTCATGCTACCAGCACAGCAGCCATGGCTAACGTTTGCTTGTTTGCGATGCTAATGCTAGCTTAGTGTTGAAGTGAGGCCACATGCAATTCTCGTAAATATTTCTCTGTCTTCTCGACATCTCTCCCTGGGGTGACAAATTCCAACGGGCTCGCAGATCTTTCCGTCGCATCCTTAACCAGACTGAACTGCACTATAATGTCGTAGCTGGACACTGAGGACAAACAATTAGCAGAATACTACAAACCCAACTCCAATGAAGTTGGACTTTGTGTTAAACGCACAAAGGTATTTATGATTCCACCCCAATAATTGCAGTTCTTAAAAAAAAAAAATCATTTCAAATGAGAACATGAAGCAAGAGTCAGTTGAACAGTTTTATATAGTGGAGCGCTCAGTTTCGCAACCTCATTTGGCAGCAAAACCGGCCTTAAGGCTTAAGCGAGTTAGCTAAACAACTGCTTCAGACCTTGTGACCAACCCTTGTTGCAGTTTTTTTTTTTTTTTTTAGGCCCAGATAATATTCAGTATCTCACCGAGTACCGGCACTCACTTATTGTGTAAATGAGCCCAGAGAAAATGGCTGAAATAATGAGCTCAGATCTTGGTTTAGAAGTTTCCAGCCTCAATCAGCTCATCATGGAGGATGAGCCGATGTCACAAGCCAGGAGGAAACAGCGATAAAAAGTTATCATGAAGAAAAATCGTCTTAGGTTTGAGGAAACGCTGACTCCATGCTTAGGTTTCACATTTTGTGATGACTGTGGAGTGCTAACATGCCTTCCAGCAATCTCTCCGGCTTCAAACCTGCATCCACCTCGTAAACGGTTTGCCTCCATGATGCAAGTCACTCTCACTCCTCGTCCTCCCCGGCCGTGGCGGCCTCCAGGGCGGCGAGCGCCTCGGCTACCATGGAGTCTGTGACGCTCGCCGCCTCGTCGCGGGGCTCTTCCTCCTCATCCTCGCTCTTTGTCACACCGATGCCGCTCTCGACCGTGGACACGTCCGCCGCCTTGGATCGCCGCTCGTCTCTGGTGTCGGTCGACCACAGGCTGGCGGTGCTGGTCTGGATGTCCACCGACAAGACGCTCTCCTCATCCCCGGTGTCGCACGGGTACTCGGGCGTCCCCCCAACGCCTTCGTCCACCTCGTCCGCCGACAGGCTCCCGTTGGTGGTCACGCACTGGGTGACGGGGCCGTCCCAGGGTCTCAGCCCGCCGAAGGTCCTCTGGTTGTCGTAGGCCTGAAAGGCGGGGTACACCGGCACCTGACTGTGGCGTTTGTCCTGCATCACCCATTGTGGCCCGAGAGCGTTCGGTTGGATGATATAGAGTCCGCCCTCCGCTGGGGGGGCGCTGGCCTGCTGTTGCGGCTGGTTGCTAGGCGGCGCCGCGGCGTGCAGCCTGTGGTTGACGTGGTTCTTGTCCACCTCCAATCTGAGGCTGCTGTCGCTGGAGATGCTGTAGGCGAGGTTGTGGAAGCCCTCCTTCTCTTCCTTCTGTGAGCGGTGGGCTCTGAGTGAGTGGCCCCCGAGGGCCCCGCCTGAGACGTTGTGCGTTCGGTACAGGTCTGTCTTCCTCACGTCCACCGCCGCCGAGGGGTCTGAGATGTAACTATGAAAGACAGGAAAACCAGCAGCAGAATTTTCACTTTCCATTCAACGGATGCAATGTGGGTTGACGACCGAAGTCTTTCATCATTTGAGGATTGGCAGGCGGCCATGAAATCGACTCTTCTCTTCATTTTGCAGCTTTTTTTCACGAAGGGCCTTGAGAATCAGTCGCGCTGGCCCATGTAAGTTCACAGCGAGTCAGATCTCAAATCCACCCCCATGACGCTAGAGTGCCGGCCCTCGATGATGCCAGCATTTTTCTGTCCTATGATTGATTGGTCAGCGCAAAAACCATCGCAAAACCTCAGCTCGAAAATCACATCTCTACAGATCTGGATTTAGAAATTTAGTGATTTCGCGAATGCATTTCCTTGCACCTTGAGTAAGAGTCATTTGTTTTGGAGTACCTGCCGATCCCGAGTTTGGATCCAATACCTCGGCAATGCCTCAATAAGAACCAAAAAAGAGGGCATCCTAACATGCTAGCCTTTTATATATAACTATAAGTCAGCAGAGTAGTGTGTCTGTCTCGAAATAAACTGGCAACCAGTTCGGTGTGCAATCAGTTGGGAGAGGCTCGAGCTCTCCGTGTCCTGGAACAGGACAAGCTTTTCATAAAATGTCGGGCTGAAGGTTTTTCTCACGTTATGAAAGATAAACATTGATTCAGAACTGCCGCAGATGAAGTACTTGGCAAAGTTGTGTGGTGGGATATTGCGGGTGGTTGCATTGTTTTGACGGTTTCCATAATTGCGACACGATTGTGATTTTTAGTGGCGGATACATGGCCTGCCACTGTTTATATTTGTATGGTGGCAGATGGATTTATTTTAGAACAGACTATTGGGCACCGCCGGTGTTACCGGTGTGTTTTTCACACCCATCTCCTTCTCCTCGTGTTTGTTTTTTCTCCACCCTGCCAGACTCACTTCCCCAGCTGAGCTTGTCCATCTTGCGCCTCTCCAGGTGTCTTCTTCCGTGCTAATATCGTCCCACTTTCCTTCTTTTTCGAGATTTTCTCGGCCACATTTTGTCAACAACCTCCTAATTATTTTGTGAACAGGCTTCTTTCCTCCCTCCTTGTGAGCGGACACGCCGGGTTTTTGCAAACAGAACGCTTTAGTCTCTCGACCGCCCTCACTCGCTTGCTCGCTCACCTTGAAAGCTTCTCTTCACAAAGCTCCCCGCAAAGCTGAGAAAATTAATGTTTACCTCTCCTATCGCACCAAGGTGAAGAACAGAAAAAGATTGGAGGCTCAAGGACATTTTGGAAAAAAAGCGAGACACAAAGACATATTGTGCACTTTCCTTAGTTTCCCATCAAAAACTCCCAGCGAATTTGATGAATATTTTAGACGAAATGTCAAGCTCATGACCACAAATTTCTTTTTTTTGTGGCCCACTAGAGCTAATTATGTGAGTCTACTTGTGAAATATTACCATAATTACACAATAGCTTTTAGATTTAGTTGTCGCTATTTTCCGTGACTTCTCGTAATTACTTGCTGATTTGATCTGCTTTGCTGTCTGCTGTTTTGTTGGACCTGACTGCAGCGTTTGAAAAGGTGGACCACTGTATTCTGCTGGCTCATTTACAGCACCAGATGGGCATCGGTGGTAGCGCTCTAGTACGATTTAGATCCAATCTGGCAGGCTGGACATTTTAGTTGGTCTGAGTCCCACTCTGCCCTATTGTCATATGGTGTCCCACAGGGTTCAATTTCGGTGCCCCTGCTGTTTTCATTGTATTTGCTGCCCCCTGTTTCCAGGTTGAGTTGAGCTGATTTATTTTCGACTATCCCTGACTCGGTCAGGGCCACGATTACACTCAGACATGCAGAGAGAAAATTTCTTTTCCAAGGTCTACAGCGATCTCCTCATTTGCATATAACCCTTGGCACATCTGACAGTAATTTTCCTCTTCCTGCCCACTCGACCTGGATGCCTCAAGTCCTCAGTCTTCTTCGTCCCTTAGCTGCATATCATGATGAGAGCCTTGCTTTTGAAACGTGACGAAATGATGGATGATGATGAAACTGAAGGCCGTATCAGGATGACCTGGTTGATACCCAGCATCTGGATTCAATTAAAATAGATCTCCAAGCGCTCACGTTGCACACAGACACCTGCCAACTGTACCTAATTTCTTCTCACCTTTTCATCATCCGGCAGCATTGACACCCCATTTGGCCAGCTGAGAGATGGAGCTACAGAGGAAGAAAATCAGCAAAATTAAAAAAAAACAAACAAACATACACTCAATAGTTATCTTCATTTTCTAAAGAGCCACAGGACGTGTTTGCATCTATGCGGACATGAATCCTGACACAGACAACATTACATGCTAACGATTAGCATTGATAGTTTTGGACACATGTATTACAAATCTATGAACACAGATAAAATAACAATACTCCCAAGTATTCGTGTCACAGAATAAATTAACCTCAAACGTCAACTACTGTGTATCCCTCCACCTCTTTTATTGTCCTGAACATTTGCAGTGAGGACACGACACAAGGCGCTCTAATCGAGGGGATCGTTTTGCATCAGAATGGGTGCTGAGTCTTGGATTTGCAATGCAAAAGCTGTCCGTGTGGGTCGAGGTCGTATGCCCAGGCTGCTTGTGGGTCAGCATGGGAATCTTCCAGTCGTGCAAGACAGACGTGACAATGTGTAATTTTAACACTCCTCCTAGCCAAAATGCTGCAGATGCAATTCCTGACGATGTGTCAAATCATTCAAATGAACACTGCGACCATCAGAAGAAGTGTCTTCAGTCTGTGTTGAACAACTAAAGATATTTTGTCGTCGACTATATTCTAAGACTTGGTTAATCGAAGACATGACTTCGATTTTTTTATTTTCCGCGAACTAATTAACCCTTTCAGGGACAGCGGTTACTACAGTGCCCAGCTAACCATGTTATCAGGTTAAAGGGTGCATGAACGAGTAAATAGTATTTATGCAATTGTTACTGGAGCAGTCACTCGAGCCACCAGCATCAAACATTGCCTGCAGACTTTCTAAAGTCCCAATGAGATGACGGATTCAGTCCGCGCAATCATACTTGACTTTCCAGTCTTGTCCCCGTGCTCCTTTCAAGACATCCGATATTGTTCCCGCATTTTTTTATGATGGGAAAGATGTGGGGATGATTGCTGAAGGGCAGCCGTATTTCACGCGGCGAAGAGTTCCCCTCAACAGGAAATTGAAACATCTCATTTGCGGAGAAAGAGGCGCAATAAATGTGAAATTGGTGAGGGCTCGATGTGGGCTGCATTTCAAATCCAGAGGAAACCCATCGGATCAGAATTGCATTTCGTACGTAAAGAAAGAAGGCGTGAGGGCCTGTTTGAGGTTAAGACAGGCTTTTCATTTGAATTAAATGCAGACCGCCGTCCCAGAAAGAAAAAAAACAACTCCTGGTTGGTCAGTATGACCTTCCGTTTGAAAGCGAAAATTGATATCAAACTGGTTATACAACCAGATACACGACTGTTGTCTTATTTCTCAGGCGTGGAGTGGCCAGCAGATAGTAAACTGTCATTTCCCAGCCTGGGGGAGATGGTGGTTGTGGCGATGGAAAAGTGGGCAAACTGGTCGGACCTCCATCTCACCCTTCATGACGCTCCCCCCCACCGCCCCCCTGCAAATAACAATTCCGTGTTGTTAAAATGCAGACTTTGATCAGGGCTCTTATCAGCTCCTGCGCTTTTATAATCCACTTGCTAATGTTGCTCTTTTGACTTGTTCTCGCTTCCAATAATGTTCCTGTGAGTATTGTTAGATGCTGCTTGTGTGTATTGCTGCTCCCTGGGTCAACGCCGTCTTCGTTTGACGGTTTTCTAATTATTGTTACTTCGATGTTAATTTTGTGTGAGCGTTGAGCGAGTGGACTTTACGTGGTGTGCAATGTTTACTCTCTCGTTTTATGAGTCAGATATGGAGACAAGATTAGCTGGAAACTAGAGAGAAAGTGAAAACTGGCGCTAAGGAATGTTTTAAAAAGTATGTTTTCAGGGACGGCGGTTACGACAGTGGACAGCTTATCATGTCATCAGTTTACAGGGTGTAAGAAAGGGTTAATGCAGTGATTCCCCTCAATTTTTTCCTGCCAGGGTGTCATCCAGATTTTTCGCCGACCAGAGAATTTCACATCATGTATTTAAAACAAGTTCACCATAAAAACACCCCCCACAACCACTCGCTTCTTGCTAACGCACAATGGAAAACACATTTGACAGGCTAACGATTAGCATCAATAGTCAGGTCGTCATAAGTCCTTCGACAACGGATATTTGACTGCAACAACACGCGAACAACAAATCCCCTCCATTTGCTGCACCTTTTGAGCAACGAAGCGACACTCGGTGCCATGTGAGAATCAGCAGGCCACTGCGGGGCCTAATATAGAACCTCGAGTACACGCTCTGTCCTCGAATCATGTTACTGCCTTGTGCCAGCATCTTTTTTTTCTGAAAAAGAGGCCTCGGGCTGCAGTGTGATGAAACCGCTCAATTAGCCCAGGGCCCATACTTATCGACAGCAACTCGGCGGCTGGCTGGCTTCGCAAACAGAGCCACCGCTGTGTTTTCTCCCACAGACATCGACCCTCCCCTGAGCCCTCACTGTACTTGGCAAAAAAAAAGTACACAACAATCATTACCCAAAACCAAATCTCCATTTTGACTTGCTCAAGTGCGATATCGATTCCCAGCGGTTGGGGTAGCCTGGATGAAAAATGATTCGCTTTAACTTTGAACGAGTGATCTCATGCTACTCACAAAAATTTGAAATGTCTCCTTTTGCATCGTTACTTCCTTTTCTATTTGTATGCTTCACACTCCGTACTTCATGACTTAAGTACACAAGTTGAATCCCCACCCCCCCGACCTACAGTAAACTATCTTTGATGTCTTCATGACGTTTTGTTTAAAAAGATTTAACACCGTCGGTAGCTCAGTTGTCATGTTTTATATCCTGCTGCATGTCATTCACCCGCCATGGGTAAATAGAATTTGCATCCACTCTCTATGACTTCTTTGGTCAAACAAGCTCCCGCGTAGGGCGGAGTCGCGCACCGGGAGCGTGGGAGTGGAGATGAGAGCCGCCATGTTGGCCAGTGCATGATGGGCTGACCAGCCGGGCCCATGCAGGTTGGAATGTTGACATGTGTTACATGTGCAAACACAGCTCAAGGCCGCATACAGCTCTTCCCAGGTAAATAACAACCCCCTCGGATTATTATGTTCCCTTCACTTATTAGCCTCCCTGGCTGGGAGTATTGATGTAATAACACTGTCATAGATACTCACCTGTTCTCGCGAAGAATACTGATCATTTTGACATTTAGTGTATTATGAATGTCCAAGAGAAAATTGGTAATTGCAGTGTCGAAGGTGTTCTTTCAGGCATTTGGATACTTTTTTTTTTAATTCAGGAAAGCATTGAATTAAATTTAAAAAATATATAAATACACACTGATCAAACAATAGTTTACACAGAGCTAGTGCAACTTCTGTGAGTTAGCCAGCATTTCAAATGCACCCTTTTTCAGGCCTCTAAAATGTTCATTGCGTTAATTCGTTTGAACAAGAGGTCATACCAAAAGTGCGGCTCCAGTAGTTTCGGTTAAAAGAGCATTTCCAGTCGGGCATTTTTTTTTTTTTTTGTGTATTACGACCAATTTTAACAAACAAATCAACCTTCCATCTGCCGGTACGTCTTGGAATCCATTTTAATAAGGCTTTCTGTTTCAAAGAGTAGCTTTGGACCTACCTGTTGCGCTACGAGAAGGTGTGGCACTTTGCCCTAGGTATCCAAAACACACTTGTCATCTAGCTTCTTTCGCTTTTTTGTTTGTTTTGAAGTGAAAATGACGATGAATCCGCTCAACTTGTTTGGAGGAGAGACACCCCCGTCCCTCGGAAGAAGTTGTTTGGGTCTCCCCCACCTCGGAGAGTCCTCGGTCCCATGTCTCCAGTCCTCACACAAGTCAAGAGTGCGGATGACACGCGAGTCCAGTGGACCACGATCAAGTTAGAGATAGTGATGCATACGTGTTTCCTGTTAGCAAAATAAAACAGCATTTCCTCACCCGGCAAAAAGATTCACGCTTTCAAATAAGGTGTTTGACTTTAACTTTACGATAAGTAAAATAAATAAATAAATAAATAAATACATTTACGATGTTTAATTTGTAAAACCATGTCTTTAGACATACTTTTAAAACAATAGAAACAGACAAATAGCAACGGATGACCCAAAAACTATTGTTCAAAAGTAGAATAACAAGTAACAACTGTTATAACACTTCCAAAAAAAAGAAAAAAAGAAATACAGTACGATATAAAAGGACCGTGAAAAGCGGGAATAGCCAGTAGCTTGGGTTTACTGTATTTTTAACCAATTTTCAAGCATTATTTATCAGTAATTATACTAATATCGAGTTCAAGAGATTGTTGCAAGTAATGAATATTACGTTTTTAACAATAAGTGTATACAATATAAATCAAAAAAAGGCCTATTTTTGTTAAACTGAGCACATGTATCAGCTTCTCTGTCTCTTGATTGACAAATGACATGCCTGAGGAGAGACACGGGTCTGAAAAACTGGTTTCCATTGTTTACAGATACACCGGGTTGTCCTCGAAAGGAACATAGATCTTATCGCCCAGGTATAATTTGCTCAGTGCTGTCTCCTTGAAAGGTGATGAAATTCACAGTTTGGCCTTGGTGTCTTTGACTTGTCAGGCAAAACTGGAGTTTCACATCCGTGTGAACATCTGCTTCATTGAGGCTCAGCGAGGTTGTGCATTTTTAAGTGAGCTGACCACTGTCAGTGATAGCACAGCTGGCATCCTTTTTGGGACTTAAAAGATTAAAACACTGACGATGAAATCGGCTTCAGGAGTGTTGAAAGCTAAGTGAGCTCTTTGACCTTTCAACTTTATTTACTATAATTCAATTTTACTAATAGCAACTACGTAAATATCACAAAATAATAAATACAACAGAAAGAAAGACTTAAGCCAATGAGGGTCATCGCTAAATAATGTAAATAGTTGAAACAATAATTTTTACAGCACAATTGTGCAAATTTGGGTGTGTACTGTACCTTTATGACGGTGCCTATGTGTCATCCAATCAGCGTGGTCCTATTTTATTGCCGGAAGTTAGCAGGTGAAAATGAAGTCACGCCACGAAATATAAGCTTGTTTTTACAAAGATTCGGTGAGTTATTATTTAGTTCCCAACTATGAGCATTACCCCGTAATTAGTTTTAGCCAAAAACTGCCCAGTAAGTTTTATGTTGTGTATTTTGTAGGTGAAACAAGCAAACAAGCTTGCAAGTCAAATGACAGTGCAGGCAGGATGGGGATCATCGGCATCTGGAGAGAAATGGCACAAATTGTCGACAGTGGTAAGATGTCATCTTCAGTAACTTCTTTTCAAAAAGACCAAGAGTGAATGAATGATTTGCTGTTAAAAGGAAAGCAGTCGTCGCTGTTTTTCTCTTATCATGTTCAATGTAATCATTGTAATTTCTAGAAATACTGTGTACACATTACTCATTTGTGGGGACACATTTGTATAGAGCCCTTGTGTAGCTCTTATTTCCATCTTAAAATCAGTGCTAATGAAGCGGAAGCTGTCATTTTTGTATTGATTGTATCAGGATGCTGTGGTTGTTTCTAGTTGACTGACGTTTTGTGTTGAGAAAATTGTGGACATTCAGCATATTTTCTCACTTCAGTTTTGATGAAAATATTGTTGAGTCTGCACTGCATCAAGGTAATGTAAAGTGTTTCGTCTTGGCCGGTTTATCTGTTGCTGCCAGAGGGTCCGGGTGGCAGTGAGGGAGAGAAACCTGGTGAGCCAAAGGCTTCCCCGTTGCTATGAATACACGTTCCAGATGGAAAAACCTGGGACCACAAAAGCAGGGTCCTGGCTCACAGAGTAAATACGTCTGACAATGACACGGCTATTTGGGGTCAGAGCAAATAACGAGACGTTTTCAAACGATACCCAGTGTCGGAAACAAAGCGTGACCTGTGCAGACCTGACGCTGGGTAAACAAGCGTGGTAATTACACGGCGGTGTGATGCCGCGGCGCAAATGTGCGTGTGTGTGGAGTCCTCATCGTGAGGGCATGCAGGCAGTCCCTACAGACATGATCTCACCATCATGCGAATGAAGGGCGTGGCCAAGCCTGTGGACCCGATGTTGCCGTGGAGACAGGATCCACACACACACACACACACACACACACACACACACACACACACACGCGCGGATTGGCTTAGAGTGACACCGCAGGGAAATTAAAACAGCAGCCCAAAGCTCCAGGCATTTCATTGGCCAATCACTCTGAATTTGTCGGCAAGTGTGTGAGTGTGTGAGTGTGTGAGTGTGTGTGTGTGTGTGTGTGTGTGTGTGTGTGTGTGTGTGTGTGTGTGTGTGTGTCGCTCCCTGCACAGGTGCAAACCACACGCATCGCCTAATTCCCAATGACAATGCCAGCCCGCGTTGGAGCCGTATTCACCATGCTTGTCCAGCATTTGTCATCAAGCGGAGACAAGCAATTACTGGCCTATCAGATGCTTTAACGGCGATGTAGCACACAATGAAACGTGCGTCTGTGTGTGCGCTTGAGGTAGTACTGACACGCGTCATTGTGGTTCATTAAAGATCCAGAGGTAGCAAGCACGTGGAGCCCAAAAAAAAAAAAAAAAAAGTCATCTGTTTTATTTCATTAAAATGTCCCATACAAACAATGCATACACGCTAGTTTCATATTGCTTCGAACATACGTTTCTTTTCTGCTTGAGTTCCAGTGAACATCTCGGTAACAAAGTACAACATTTATGAAAATATAAATCTCTAAACAGGTAATCAATCCTGACAATACAAATAATACCATAGAAACATTCATCACCAGTATGTCAACTATGAGTTGCAAACGTAGAACTTATTAAAAGCCATTCAAGTTACTTTAACAGACAGTTAATACCATTTACGGGCGTCCATATGGCCACATTCAAATATACGCTTAAATTGGCATTCCAATATATTCGGGCAGGACTCTTTAAATCTTTTTTTTTCTTTTTTTTTTTTTTCTTTGAGAGACCAGAGAGAGCACACCTTCTTGATCATAAACTAAATCACAGTCCACCACTGAAACAATTTGGCAACAATATAATTACATTTCAAGCCTCATTGAACGAAATGAACGAACTTTGGCAATTACATATGTTGTATTTTTTTCCCTTTTCTCCCCCCCTCCCTTTTTCTTTTTTTAAATTTATAAACTCTTATGGGGGAATTCTTTTAAAGCTTGATCCTGCTACCTTGCTTAAAAGGATCCGAGGGCCATCATCTTAACGGCTGAAAATGAGTCGATGTACTAGAATAGCCCTTTTGTGAGAAGTCGGTCAAGGTGAGGAGAGTGTGTGGCTTTGCTTCATACTTGTCATGTGTCAACATGACGACGCCACTTGCAACCGGAGCCACGTCATTCTGTTGTCACCCAGTGTGCTTTCTGTGAGCTCGCTTTTGTCGTGGAGGCGCTCCTAAAAACTGCGGTTGTGCAATGGTGATCGAAAGGACACTCTGCGAGTCAATTATCATGTGTGTTCTTGTACTACGACTAACAACGACAGTAACGACCACATGTGAAATGACCATCTCTTTCATTTCAAACACCCAAATGTACCTGGACATCCTCTTTGTATATGTAGGCAAGTTCTGTTTAAAAATTGTGTTAAGACACCGCTAGATCACCTCAATAAATAAATAAATACCATGCTGCACATCGGAATAAATCTACTTATTTCTCGCAAACCACCAATAAAGTGCTTCTACCTTGTGTCTAAAACCGCTACTGTAAATACATATGCACAAGGCCAAATTGTTTCAGTGAAACAACGGGACGACTACTGTCACTGTCCTTTTCTATGTCAACACTTGAACTCCACGAGACCCAAAAGCAAGTACACTGATTAAGGCGTGACTTTGTATGGTGCTATGCTACACTGAATTGCTCCAAAGTGGTGCTTCCGCTTGAAAACACAACAGCTCTCACGTGACCGGAACTGCAAATTCACAGTAAAACGTTCCCCAACTGTTGTTACGAAGAGCAATGCAACCTGCGGCTCGCATTTTTTTTTTTTGTGTGTGTTTATACTTATCCTGTGTTTACAAATTCCCTGCTTATTTTTGTCTCATAAATCTTGTAGTCTGCACATAAAGACATTTAGAAATTCCAGGCACTCACTTTGATTGCATGAAGCACAACTTAACATTTTAAAGAGTTGCACAAATTGCAGCAGCCAAAAAGAGACGTGTGTGTCTGTGTGTGTGTGTGTGTGTGTGTGTGTGTGTGTGTGTGTGTGTGTGTGTGCCAACGGATGTAAAGAAAATAAAAATGTTCTCTTGCTGTAGAACGCAATGGCATAATGTCCGCAAATTAACCCATTGGACAATAAGAGCGGCAGAGATGAGCAGAATGGCTTTGACGGTGTTCCGTCGCAAAGACACTGAAATCATTTGTTCTTCAAATGCTAAAAGGACACAGAATGGCCGAACTCGCATCTCATTGAATTTCTTCCCGTCTTGTGTTGATGATTCCGAGCGTAAGAATGGAAAACAAACGAAAAACAGTACGACGACTAGATAGGATAGATAGTCAGACGCCTGACATTTGCAGCTGAATCACGTGGCTGTAAACAAGAGTCAACTACAACCCTCCGGAGAGTCGAAACCTCGTCACACATCTCCGCTCTTCCTGGTTTTTTGTTTTTCTTTTTTTTTTTCACTGCAGCAGCTCCGTCTTTTTTGTCGGCGTAGTCGACTCACCTTCGCCGGAGTCAGACACATTGATCGGGCTGTCCCTGGAGAAAACCTCCGTCGATTCCCTCCAAATGCAGTCGGCGATGGTCTTGAAGGAATGATTGCCGCATTTGGGACGGACCTTCTGCGAAGCGTTGTTGACAATCTGTCGGCTGTTGGACGTGGCGATCTTGATCTTGAGCGCGGCGTCCACGCGGTCCACCACGGTGTATGTGCCAATGCTGCCGTCCTCAAAGCCAATGATGATGTTGAGGGCTCTCTGGGAGAGTGAAAGGAAAGTGGGTGTCTTGTATAAGGAGCACGTTCCAATACTCTTGCCGTCGGCAAGTCGCATCACAATCAGATTGGACACGACGCCGGCATCGTCGTCCTCGTCGCAGTTACGGAAGCAGACGTACACGAGGTAACGGCCGTCCCGTGATAATTTCTGACGCCAGATGATGCCGGCGGCATGGACGAGCCTCAGCTTCCCGCTGTGGAGGTCCAGCACGTTGATGTTCTCGTCACCTTTGGACACAATTCCTTGCTTGCCGTTGGGCGAGATCTGGAAGTCCTCGAGATTTTTCAGGAAGTTGGCTGGCAGCTGGACGCGCCTGCAGACGGCCTCGTCTGCCACGCTCCAGATGAAGACCGTCTCTGTGGATGTGATGAAAACGACGCAGTCAGGGCAGTCGGGAATGAGTTTGAAGTTGACAATGGTGATGCCGTCGTCGCACACAAACTTCTTGGACACGCTGCCCGACCACAAGCTGACGGCCAGGAGCTTGTTTTTGGAGATGCCCACCAGAAACGTGTTGGCTGTGGTGATCAGAGCGTTCTGGAGGGTGACTAAGATGTTGCACACTTTGTGTCCGGTGGCCAGTCTCCAGACTCTCGAGGCGTTTTGTTCGCAGAGCGAAACGACAAACTGGTCGTTGTGGGTGATCAGCAGCTGGCATATTCGCTGTCCGTTGATGCGAAAAATGTTCTCGCCGCTGTTGGTTTGCCAGATGTACTGACTGCACTTGTCGTCGGACGTTACCATTAGATCCCCCGAGGAGGTTAGCACACAGTTCTCCACTGTGCCCTCGTGCTTGAAGACCGTTTCGATAAATCCGGTGCTGAAGTTCCACTTGTGGACTGCTTCAGAACCATCCATGGTAAACACGTAATCCTCTCTGCCAGACAGCTGCAACGTCTGGATCTTCTTGCCCGTTTTGTCGATATTGGACATTGCGGTGATGATGTCGATGTCCCAGACGGACAGCACTCCGCTGCTGGCAACAGAAAGTAGCAGGTTGTGGTGGACCGACTTGATGAGTTTGACGATGGCCCCCGAAATCTCGATCAGGCTTGCCATGCATTGCCCGCTGTCCCTCCTCCACACAAAGATGGAAGAGGTGTTCTCCATGGAGGCCACGATACTTTGCCCATTCTTGGAAAGAACCGCGGCTACAAAACGCTCACTCCGTTTTGCTTTGAACTTCTCCACCATTTTCCATACCTTCGTATCGAGAACCTCAATGCTTCTGGCCTTGCAAAGCAGAATTGAGCGCTGGTCTTCCGAAAGCTCGATGCTCACCACTTCGCTGTCATCACCTCTGCAGTCGTAGTCCTCCATCAGACGCGGGTTGGTGATCTCTTTGGTGTTCCATACGGACAGACTCCCCTCGTTGTCGATCATCACCATTTGGTTGATCGTGTCGAGGACGAGAATGGATTTGACAAAGCCCCCCGAAAACTCCGAGGTCACGGTGGCCAACTTGTCGCCATTCCCCAAATGAAAGATGGATGCGGTGTTGAGGTACTGTCCACAGAAGGCATACATTCCATCTGGTGAGCACTGGACGCAAGTCACCTCGTACCAGCAATGGAACTGATAGAGAGGCCAGCCGTAAAGTAGGTCAATGACGTTGACGTCTTTACTGGCCTCGAGCCAGGCTAAAGCGTGGTGAGTTGACAGAGTAAAGCCGTTGATAAAGGCCACCCCACCGGTGACGCCAGCGTGTTTGGAGCCCTTGATTTCAACCTCCGACAAAAGGCAGGATTTATGATTATCGTAGATCAGGAGCGTGTTTTTAGTGGTGGCCACAACTAAATATTTCTCGTCGGCGGTCAGCCTGATTCCCAGCACGACCGATCTCGCCGTGTCGATCTGCCGTAGCAATTGTCTGCTCTCGACGTCCCACGTGCTGACCGAGCCATCTTCCAGGGCGACGAGGACGATGTTCGGTGCTAGCGTGGGCAAGATCTCCACGATATGCATGTAACTAGAACTCAAAGGCAGTCTCTCTGGACTGTAGGTGACATCCATTGAGGAGTGAAGAGGCACAATGGAGCAGTACTTGGGGCCGTCCTTGTCGCACTCCAGGAGGAGATGTCTAAGTTTTGGCAGGGAGGTGACCACTGGCAGCAGCCTTTGCTGCAGTTCTGCAGAAAGCGATGCCGGGTTTTTCAACACCTTGACCTTGATGCTGCGGAGTGTGGTGGATAGAAACTTCAGCTCTTTTTCTTGGGTGTAGCTGTAGGCCAATTCGATGTCATTTAAAGCCTTTTCAAACTGTCCGATCTTGATCATTGTGTACAGCCAGCTGAAGTTCATGATGACGCCAAACATGAGGTCATCGGTACGGCCACTTCTCGTGAGGTGGAACACCAGCTCTGTCATCTTCCTGTGGTTGACAAAGAAAATGTCGGGCTCCAGAAGGTTGCACTGGAAGACCCAAGGCTGCTCCGGGGTTTGCCTGTCATATGAGTACTTGTCAGATGAGGTTTTCTCATGGGATTGTTGATGGTGGGGATTTTTGTGGTGCGATATGTTTTGGGACGTGAAATGATTGTTGTCATAAGTGAAGATCTTCTTACGGCCCCCTGACCACGCCCCCAGGAAGTACTCTGCCAGAAGGCTGTGCATTTGATGGACGTCTTCCTCGTTGCTCAGGTACAGCTTCTGGGCAATGAGATGCAGATGCCTGTTGGCCCAGACCATCAGGGTGACGTTATGCACCTGGCGTTCCACCAGGTAACCTTCCAGCTCTTCCTTGAGCCGTGCTACCAAGTCACAAGAAATTCTTAAGGGATTTTTGAGGTACGATACCACAATAACGTCACCGAGGACGATGTTGTCCAGGGAAAGAATGTCCTCCAGCTCAATCTCAGTTAACCCCGCTTTGGCCATGGTGATATACCCCAACGCTCGAAAGACAAATCGTTGGCCCAACTTGTTCTCGACCGAATAGAATAACTGTTCTATGCTTTCGTGTACCGTGGAGCACAGGGATTTCTCATCCACATCCTTGTGAGACCTCCAGTGCACCACCTCTCTGTAGATTAAATTAACAAACATCGGCAACGTACACTTTGCCAGAGCCTCGTTGACGTAGATTTGTTGACCCGAGGTGACCTTTCGCTTGACGCCAAGTAACTGCTGCTTTAACGTCTGGCTGCAGACCTTGCGGTCCCTCTGTACTAACTCCACGTAATTGTCCTCATCGTGAACAGCGTGTCGGAGCTTCTGCAAGATTCCGTGTTTATTGGGCAATGTTGACACGACAATGCGGACTGTCCGAGGGAGTTGTATTGGGAGCCACCACAGCTTGCGCGCTTCATCGGCATCTGACAGCTGCTCCAGGGCATCCAGGATGATGACTAAGGGCCTGTGAAAGGAGGATTCTCCCAGCAGGTTGATTAGGAGCTCCCTCATTTCCTGGATTTTGTTAGGCAAAAAGTGAATCAAGCAGCGGTAGTTTATTGCAATCTGTTCGCAGATGCTCTGGAGAAGGGTGCGCAAGTCTGTGGAAGGTTGACTGGAACCGATGAAACGGACAATAACCACGGGATCTGTTTCGGGGCCCGTCTCTTTTTGCAGCCACGCGTAGGCCTGAAAGACATGTTTGACAGATATTTAAGAGTCCCTTGCTCTCTCATCTGCTGAATGAATACTGAAAATGTCTCACCTGTTTGGCCACTTCAGCAAGTAGCAATGTCTTCCCCGTGCAGGGCCCACCATGCACGACGAGCGGACTCATCCTACCCCCCTTAGATGGCAAAAGGTACTCCTGCACGTAATCCAAGGACTCGGTCTTGTACTCATGCAGCGCTGAGTAGGTTTTACAAAGGGACAGGTGCTGCAAGATCTCATCATACAGCGGGTCAGACTCTGTGTCAAAGTTCTGCTGGACTGTGGCCTGAATTATATCCACCATGTCCTCATAGAATTGCTTACATAGTCCCTCCACATACTGGCTCTCCACTTCCTGGGAGTAGCCGAGCTTCATGTCACAGTGCGTGACCGAGGAGTAAACACGGAGGTTGGACGCGGCCACCACCGTTGGTATGAACTCGTCGCGCACCTTCAGCAAGCGCTCGTATGCTTCCTGGTTGCGCATGATGCGGTCGCTGCTCACCACAATGTCCATGTAGCGGGTCATCTCGGGGAGTTTTGCGAAGCGGTCAAAGTTTGAAATCTTGCGGATGTAGCAAACGCATTTCCTGAGAAAGGCGGGAGTTTGTTTTCCGAGGGCAAAGTCTAATTCGTCTTCCAAGGCTGAAATACGAAGAAAACAACAACAAAGAAAATATTACGCGTGAACATATTGCCTGTCAAACCTAAATTAAAACTAAAATGGCCAGTATTTCCCTACCCCCAATTAGAAACCGCTTACCAAGATGTAGCTTTAAGTATACCGGCCGACATCCTCAAATAGGAATCTAACAGAGTTCTTTCAGGAGATAATCTGAAAAGCTTTCGTAACCATTTTTGCCAGTGATTACATTGATCCCTTGAGCCTCATGTAAAAAGAGCCAAAGATGATAACAGCATTTGAGTGTAAAAGAGGCTCCCCCACCCACAAAGAGCCCGCCGACTGAAATTCTGCCAGTTTCTCCCGTGTCGTTTTCTTCACACTGTGGCGTCCTAATTAGATACAAGAAATGCAAGTTTTGGAAGGAAAAGTTGGGCCTTCCCGGAGATGGCACATGATTCTCCACAGAAAACAATGGTTAATTAGGAGTCGGCCGCGTTCGTCATCTTAAACGAGCAGACCTGACACTAACCGGAGCAAAGGAATTTCTTGGCCTGAGTGCTCGGCATTGTCCCCTTTTCTTGAAGCTGCAGAACCGCCGTACGGAAGATACGCTTGATCTCCTCCGACACTTTCCTCCAGGCCTTGTCGTTCTTGGTTTTGGCTGCACTGCTGGACTCCATCTAAGTCAGGCGGCAGGCAGGGAAAAGGACAGATTGACTTCCCCCCCGCAAACTCGCGCCACATGCAGAATTGCTTGACATCCGAACGCTGACGCGAAACGAATGATTTGCGGGTGCGCTTTAATATACCGGAGTTGGCAAACAAGAAGTGTGAAGGGTTTATTTGACGAGGTTCATCCAAAGATGCACTCACTGAGTTCTGGTAGTTCTTCAGCATTTGGGCTTTGGGTTTGAGGTAGTATGCGGGCGGCACAGAGTTTTCATCCCTGCAGTACCACTCGTCCAAGATGCGCGTGTCCAGCCCTGCTTCCACTGCTGCGTCCAAGATCATCTCAAACTCTGCCGATTCCACTTCTCCTGGCACTCGAATGCTGCCGTACTTCTCTCCCACCAAACCCTGACGGATGACAAAAAGGACCGGCGGACGTCACCAAGGCGAGCAATCGGTCAATGAATTGAGGGCAGATCTATCTCGCGTGTAGAAAAGCTCGCACGAGTCTTCATGTCGCAGTTAAATATGGTCATGAAGATTTTGTGAGTGGAAAGTGCGTGGGCCCCTTAGTCATTCTAATCATCACCACCGCCACCACTTCTCATAATCTCTTTGTGTCATCATCAAGTGTAACATTTTGCACTAAATATGTACAGTAGGTGCTTTAGTGCAGCGGTCCACAACCTTTTTTACTCTACGGATTGACCGGTTTAATGTCAGACAATATTTTCAGGGACCGGCCTTTACTACAAAATGATATGACCTGCGTGAAAACTGTGGTATTTTCCAAACATAATAATAAACACGAATCATGACCCGAGGAACGTCCTGTGTGGCCGCAACAACACTCTCTGGTCGCTATGGTAAATATCCCTTCAAAATAAGATAGACCGTAAATACAAAGTGCTTGAAAAATTTGACTCACCATCACCGCATATTATGCAGAGTGGGCTTGGTGCGCGGGAATCTCCCGTTGAGAGAGATCCATAAATTTTAAGTAAGACTCCTGATCCTGTCTATTTAATGTAACTTTTTTTTCTTGAAAGTCATCGGCTCCTCTTCTGTCTCCCCAAAGAAACTTTCCAAAGACATTTGTTTTTGACTCATTTTGCTAGCTCCCGGGTTTTATTTTAGCGGCAACCTATCACGTGACCGAGAAGCGCGCCTTGACCTGCGTCAAGAGTAACACACTGTAGACGGATATAACAGAGAATTTTTCAAAATAAAACATCTGTCAGATTCCGAAATGCATAAAACGGAAGTAATGTCAGTTATTTATTCTTTCTGTGCGGCCCGGTACTAAATGACCCACGAACTGGTACCAGTCCGCCGCCTGCAGGTTGGGGACTGCTGCTTTAGTGCACACTTTGGGGTGCCAGCTTATCTAGTATCGGCCTAAAGGATCTGGGTCATTCCTTGCTCTGCTTCAAGGACAACCCGAGAGAGAAACGAAGCCTTCCGTTACTCGACTGGCTGATCTTTACATCCTGTGTAGCGGCATGCTTCTAGCCTGGGGCCAAAGACGCAAAACTCAGAGTCAGGGGACTGGAAAATGACGCCGGCGCGCTGGTTGGCGAGGGTGCCTCGAAGCCTGGACGAGCCGGGCTTGCACTGGTTGCCTTGGCAATAGCAGCGGGAGCAGATGCGGAGAACGCGGCGAATAAAGTTGCATTCCACAGCCCCCCCTCTGTGATCTTGTCACGCGTCCACACGTCGCGCTCGTTTCCAAGGAATAAATCAGTGCGACACGTTCCAGAGTTGAAAACGGCAAGAAAATGCCAAAGATGAGAAAGGCCCTCCTCTGTGCCAGAATTTTGACTGTCCAGCTCCAGTCTTCCTGATGAGCCTCGAGAGGGAAAAACGCTTCAAAACCAACGATGCCTTGCTCCATCAATCAGCAAAAATCGTATGTATTGATCTGGTACATGGTTTTGAGCGACAACCGATGTGCAATAATGACATCGCACTCAAGCTTCCAGTGATTGATCTCCTGGAATTTGGAATGCGGGGAGATTGTTTTCTACATTTGGGCTCAAAGCTCTTGGATCATGTTAGCCTTACATTACGCTAACAGAAGCAGAAAGAAAAAAAAAATCAAGGTTACTTTATCCCCGACTATCTTCTTTCATTGGCAGATGGGAGGAAAAGTGGAAGCGTCGAAGCTGAGACGCGTCCTTGAGGCGTTTATCGAGTATTTATGATTTTTTTTTTTTTTTTTTTTTTTACACGGGGGAATTTGAGAGCTCAAGATGATGAAGAAGAAAAGACAGTTGTGGCACATTGTCATGCTTACCGTCACCATGCCAACCCTTTGCAATCGCCATGGAAACCTTTATTGACAGATTAGACAAAACCCCACCCCCCCACCCTCGTCCAGGTGTGTCACGCGCCGTCTTGCGTCTAAAAGCTCACACGCACTTTGTAATTTCATTTGAGGAAGCTTTTCAGGATGACGTGCGACGGTGGTTTGGAGCACAAATTCAAGAAATGATGAGCACTGCTGAAGGAGATAGCTTGCGTGGAGGAAAAACTGATGAGGAAACGTGGGTCTATAAAAACACACACACCCTTGTTCATATACCAGATTTTTCAAATATTAAAAAATTAAAGAAAATGAGACCAAGATTAATTCCATATCACCAAAACCTGGCCTTCGAACAGGGGCTTGTAGACTTTTTGATCTCTCTCGTGTGTTGTGTTGTGCGCTTTCAGGTCTATTTGTCTCCACCGCGGTGCGACAATGCCGAGGGTTCGTCAGGGTTAAGTCGCTGAGATTGCGGGCTGACCGGCGTGAAAGAAATCCGCGGTGCTCGAGGGCGAAAGCAGAGAGGGCGCCTCTTCTTTTCAACTCGGCGTTTAGCCTGACGGCGCCTGGCTTGTATGACCAGCAGTGTCATCGCCCTCCGTTGCAGTCGGCGTTTGAGGCGCACGGAGGGACAAAAGCGCCTTTGTCGGAGCGAGACCTTTTGAGAACGACGAGGCTATCTTCATGTTCGATAAAACCAAGGTTACCTGGGAAATCCCCGATTGTTTACTATATGGCAGCCATTTACAAATCGTATCTCATGAGCGCAAGGATTAGGCATCCCTTCAATAAGAGACAATTTGAGAAGCTCTCCAACGCGCCAACAGTTGAAGTTAACTATTACGGCGAAAGGCGGCCCGCTGGTCGACCGGTTGGCGCATTGGCCTCACGGTGCAGAGGAGCAGGGTTCGATTCGCGCTCTGGCCTCCCTTTGTGGAGTTTGAATGTTCTCCCCGGGCCTGCGTGGGTTTTCTCCGGGTACTCCGGTTTCCTCCCACATTCCAAAAACATGTGGCAGGTTAATGGGACAGTCTAAATTGGGATAGGCTCCAGCACGACCCTTGTGAGGCTAAGCGGATCAGAAAATGGATGGATGGATGGATAGTACGGTGAAAGAAACAACATATGGGTATATCCATCAATCCATTTTCAAATCTGCTTTTCAAATCTGCTTTTCCTGGGGCATGCTGGAGCCTATTTGAACTGTCTTGGGGCAGTAGGCAGGGGACACCCTGAACCGGTTGCGAGCCAATCGCAGGGAACACAGAGACAACCATCCATCCGCACTAGGGACAATTTTAAGTGTTCCATTTAGCTGCCACGCATGTTTTTGTAATGTGGGAGGAAAACCGGAGTACCCGGAGAAAACCCACGCAGGCACGGGGAGAACACACGGGAAGGCCCGGGGCCCGGAATCGAACCCACGACCTGCGCACTGTGAAGCGGACTTGCTAACCAGTCTCCACCGTGCTGTCCATATATTTGGTGCGCCCCTAATAAGCGATTGAATGTCATGATGCAATTGAAATCTAACAAATTGCGAAGGCGTAGAGGCAAAGCTCCGCCAGGCGAAGCACGATTTTGTTCTCTAGAATGCCGGGATGCTGTCCTACCCATAATGCATTACCTCTCTATCTCACCTCCAGAAAAAGATCTGTTGGATGTGAATAATTCAGCATCCATTACTCTACCTGTCATCTCTGCCCTTCTCCCTCATCCCCCTTTGCCCCCTTTTCTGCACCTAAATTTGCAGCTGTCTTTTTTTTTTTCTTAGCTTGCGCTACTCACAACAAAGCACGGTCCCGCTGACGTCTTCAGACATTCCTCCAGAAGCTTCATCCTGAGCCGCTGCAGCTCCGGACTGTCCCACTCCTCTGGGTCCACGCCCCAGTAGAGGTCCACCACCTGAGCCCAAAAATTGTTTGAGGATTGATAGATTGCCGAATAGGGTCCACTCTGATACTGCCGCAGCCGCGGGCAGAATAGAGATTGATTTGGGGGAAGCTCGCAGCTTGCCACATCCGTCATGGCATATCAGTGTCACTTATCCGCTCCCACAATGGGGCCCGCGCCAGCCGGCCGCGGCCGAGGGAGGAAATGGAGGCAGTTTATGACGGGTGTCCGCTGGGCTCCAGCAGGTGACGGCGAGGCCGCCTTGTAATCAGGAGCGAAATTAATAGTCGTATCTATTCAGCGAGCGTGCGTGCGTGCGTGCAAGCGAGGGGAAGAGAAAGCGCTGATTAAATCCGCGGCGTGATCGTTGCAATGCCGAGGAACGCGAAGATGGATGAAGGCCAAAATGGGCAGTTGAGAAGCGAGGCAGGGATCCAAGGTAAGCGAGGAGGCATAAGTGAGGCTAAGAGGAAATTTATTGAAGTTTTTTTTTTTTTTTTGGAAATGAAGAGAAGACTCCCGTGGGGCAGGATTTGGCAGCTTCCATATCTCTCTTTTTTTTTTTTCTTTCATGCCAATTTGCCAATCCTCCCTGTTTGATCGCACTCTCCCACTCCTGCCCTCAACTATGGTTGCTTACATAAGAGCTGAAGCAGCTTCTGCTAAGCGGCTTTCTAACGCCCTTGGAAGGAGTTTGCCTGCGGCAGTTGAAATGCAGGGAAAGTCTCCCCCCACCCCCACCCATTTATTAAATGTTATACTATTAAACATCGGGATAATGCCCATGAAGCCCAGGAAGAAAGGGCATGAAATCAGGCGAGAGGCGGAAAATCAGGAGAAAAAGTTTCAGGCAAATTAATACATAAATAAACAACATCAATTGCAACTGGATTGCTCCGTTGTTTATTTTTTATTTTTTTGTCATTATAGTTTTTATTTCCTTTTATTGCTGAATTTGAATTCATATTCAGAGCCGGTTTGTTAGTTTATATTTTCAAGAATGCTTCGTTTTTAAATTTGTATTGATTTATTTATTTATTTTGGGGGTATTTGTTTTCTTATGTTTTTATATGTGAATTTCTTGTGTGCAACATAAAAAAAAACGTTCATGTGTAGTAAAACAAAACAAAACAAAACAAAACAAAAAAAAATCAACAAAACTGTTTTCAAAACAACCATCCAAAAATCAGCTACAGGGTGCCGCGCAACAGTCCACACGGGCTTTGAATTACGTGGAATGCTGTGCGTAATACTGCTTCTGAAGTGAAATACATCACAACCATCGCGTCTTAAATAAAGCTGGGATGTTCTCACTTTTTTTTTTTTCTATCCCTCGTTTGCCAAGTTGCCAACTTCTTAAGTGGATTTCTGGCTTCACTTCCTGTTGGGAAGTATTAAACCTGGTTGTAGTCTTTCAAATACTGTGTTTGTGTGTGTGTGTGTGTGTGTGTGTGGCTGTGTGTCTGTGTGTGTGTGTATATATATAAAATATATATATTTCTTGTATATGGCTGACCCTGGTAGGACGCAGCCTTTTTGCCCCTATGCCGGATCACCATGGGCACCATCCACCCCGCATCCTCTCCATTTTCCTCATCCTGCTGCGTCCTCAGAAAGCAACGAGACTCTGGGAGGAAAGTGAGTCAAGTGACGAGGGGAGCGAGCGGACTCGGATTTCATCAGCCGAGCATATGTGTGTCAGTGTGTGCCGCCGGAAAGAGACGGGATTGTGTATTGTGTGCCCGCGCGCGCGCCGTGTTGTGATGGCACATGAATATGAAATCAAAGGCAAACGATGACGAGCAATTTGACTCCCGCTGCTGCAGTGATTCATAATCCAGCTCTCGTAAAGCAGTTTGCACCGAGGCGCCAATTTGTCACGTGGCACGGGTGAAGAGGGAGGGGTACGGTCGTGTGTGTGTGTGTGTGGGGTGGGGGTTGCGAGGACTTGCAGCTCTTGTGCGTAAATCATTTCCCGCTCATGCATCGCGACAGCAAGCTGAATCACCAGACGGGCACGTGGCTGCACAGTGCGAAGCCAAAAGTGTCTTTGCACATTTCCCTTCCCCGGCGTCATCGCGCGGTCCTACGTCACGCAGGCCAGGAATTCTGTCTGTCGTTATCCTCCCGTCGCCACGGCGCACAGACGTGTCAGGCCGAGTGACACGTGCGAAATTTTCGTGCCGTTTCCTGCTCAACATGTTTCCTGGGGCGCAAGTGTTAAATCTCATCGACACATCCGGCGGAAAACAGACGGTTGGATTGGTTGAGAGCAGTTCTTGGATGACAAATGTGAAAGTGGGATGCCAATAAAGAGTTCGCCAAACTCGAGCCTTTTCATACACGTCCGATCTGTTAAAATCTTTCGCGGACTTAGCGATCATATTTTGCACTGTCAAATGAAATAGCCCTTTTTAATTCAAGTTGATAACTGACCAGCGGGAATTTATTTTTTTTTTATTATTGTTCAAAACTATTGTTGACTTTTATTTTGGAAATTGGTTTGTTTTAATTCATTTTAGAGCAGATTTGTTAGTTTTTAAACTTTCTGAAAATGCATTTTTATTGGTTTTAGTATTAGTTTTAGATTTTTTTTGTTGTTGTTGTTGTTGTTGAACTCAACAATTAAAAAAAAAAGTCACCATATCGTGTCATAAAGTAAACTTAAACGACAATTCTCAAACGACTCCTTGACCTCCCTTATATGGACGTTCAGCACTACCAAAATATAATACATTTAAAATGAACCCCAAACCCAAAAGCATTTTCATTTTTATTTTCTTTCATTAATGATTTCAAAAAAAAAATCATTTTAGTTTTAGTTATTACATTTATTTTCGTTAACAATAATAACCCTGCACATGACCGCACGCTCCGCATCTCATAAAATGATAACGGCACACAGAAGCAGATGACATTTTGGCTCACTACAGGTAGTTCATGAAAATTAGGCTTTCATTCCAACGTAATCCTCACTTAAAATGTCAAAAGGATTTTGTGGTTTCAAGATTGTGGAGCACCGGAGTAAAAATTTGTTTCCAACGTTTTCTTTTTTTTTGGGGGGGGGGGGGAATAATCAGCAGTCGAGCATTGATTGATTTCACCAAAAAACCCGTTTTCTGACCAATAAGCAGAGAAAACAAGTTTTTGCGAAAAGCGGTTTTGCTTTCGTGACACGCCAAACTATAAATTCGACAAACTCAAGACTAAGAAAGGGGCTTTTGATGGCAAAATAATCATTTATGAACACATGCACCACTGACTTGCTGCGTGGCTCGAGTTGAACGAAAGTGGCTTTTTTTTTTTTTTTTTAACATGACGTTTGTCGTTCACTCCGTGAACGACGTCGTCTTTTCTCGCGATGCCAACTCTGTTCATCCCACACACACACGAGAGAGATTTGGATTCCAGTCGACAAATATAATCATCCACAGCAGTGGATGAGTTGATACCATAAGCAAACAATTTCATATGCTCCAAAATGACCTCAGAAGGTTATTCTCAACACAAGAGCCAGGCACTGGAATTGCAATCCTGCATCAAAATAAGAAGCTGGCGTCGCGCGCAAATCGCTCCTCGCTTTTCCAAGAACTATCTGAAGCCCAAATCTCCCGCTAGCTTGAGGGCTCTCCTGGATTTGTCGAACAAACCCTGATAGCAATCTCTCCGCGCATGCCGATGTCGATTTGCAATGCAAATGCGCCGAACGGCCGCGGCGACGGAGAGAGCGAAAAGGGAGAGCGACGGTGGCCGTCGGGCGATGACAAGAGGGAAAAGCCCTCACGTCATTGCGCCTTATCCGCGGCCAGATTCGCGCCAGCCTTTGTCGCCAGGCGCCTTATCTCTGCTGGCCTTCTGTCCGCTCTAAACGTCAGGAGACCGACGTGTGCGGCGCCGGGGGGTCTTTTAAGGTCCCGGGTGCTTCACATGCAAAACCGACAGGCTCCCGTCAGCGAAAGGGCAGCCTCTGGAGCGTGATGGCAAATCACAGCAAACGCGACTAACCTGGAATTCAATGCCGTAGTTCTCCCTGCAGAAGTCCCGTAGTTTGGGGTAGACGTGCTCTTTCAGTGCGTTCCTTTCTGCCTCTGTGTCTGTAAGCGAAGGGGACAAGAAGATGCTTTATTGTGAGAGAGGGTTCCATTCTCAGGACCGGCGCAGAAAATCCGGCGGAGCAAAAATTTGCAGTGAGGCGTGTGAGAACGGGAGTTGGTCATTTGGTAACATGCGCAAATTGGCGCATTTAAGCCTTTGAACGTCATCGACAACAATTGCCGTCAACGGGAAACCTAACGTGGAGTGCCGTTGACGGCAACTACTTTTGTATTTTTTGTTTTTGTTTTTTGAAGTCCTGGCTAACTCTGTGAGCCTTGAAAGATCAGTCAGAATACCCAGCAAATATTGGCTGGCACTCAGTAGGTTGTCTGTTTTGAATATGGCGGGCATTGAAAGAGTTCAAATAAAGTGCAGTTTGCGCCGTTGTGGGCGTGAGCACAGCCACCGTCATTCGCTGCCGGTCAACGCTGCTCTGTGAGGAGCAGGACGCAGCGCTCAGTCCCGGACTGGAGCGTTGTCACTGCCCTTGGCTGGTGTGGCTACAGACAGCGTAAGCGAGTGTGGTATGAAATACAGCATGAGCTGATGGTAACTGCTGGTGACTTAAATACGTCCGTGGACGCGTTTGACAAGGTGTTCCACTTTTTTTTTCTGTGTGCAAATATGGGGTTATGTGCAAAAACGCTACGTTAGGTTAGCTGCCGCCAGGCGACAATCATATCGGAATGTTGAATTGAGAGCCTGCGCCTTGTTGTTGTGTCCCACTTTTCTCCCCTCTCTGTTTTTCCGCCTCTCCACACACTCGCCGTAATCTATTTGGACAAGCCCGGTCTCTTTCCCTGGAGGGCGCGGATGGACAGTTCAAACAAAACATGGCCGACAGGGAGACCTGCACGGAACGCCCCTCGTCCCGCAAGCGCGCGCGCACACACGCGGAGTGAGCGGGGCCAAGCCGGCAAATTTAGTCTGACGTATCTTTCACTCGTCTATCTTTAGCAAAGCTCGGGGCCGCGTCCAGACATGCATCTGCCCACAGCTGGCCAGCAAAATGTCACATTGAAGCGCAGCGATAATGTGCAGTAAGTGGCTGCAGCAGCGCATCTCGTTCCATCACAGGAACACTGCGAGGAATCATAAACATCTTCATCATTTTGTGTTTGAAAGCTTTCAGATTAAACTGTCGAGGGTGACTTATTGTCACCTGATGTGTGGCGTGCTTGAAATTCAAAGCACGAACCGTGATGCAGGACAAGAAAACGCGTTTTGTGAGGTGACGGGTCAGTCGGCTAGCTCACATCAAATGAACAGCTCAAGAAACTTGAACGTCAGGTTCCACTTTAACACCAACGCAAGTTAATTACACTGGTCAAAAATTCGCAATTCATTGAGGGCACATCCGATGTGCCACAAGGGTCCGTGCTTGGCCCCAAGCTTTTTCTTAGTTGTATTAATGATTTACATTTGTTGCAACTCACACATAGACTGCCAGGCTTCTTTGGGTACCTGTATAGTGACCAGTTAACCAAACTGAATCCATCCATCCATCCATTTTCCGATCCGCTTTATCCTCACAAGGGTCGTGGGGGGTACTGGAGCCTATCCCGGCTGTCTTCGGGCAGTCGGCGTTGAACACCCGGCGTTGAACCGGTTGCCAGCCAATCGCAGGGCACACACAGACGAACAACCATCCACGATCACACTCACACCTAGGGACAATTTTGAGTGTTCAATCAGCCTGCCATGCATGTTTTTGGAATGTGGGAGGAAACCGGAGTACCCGGAGAAAACTCACGCAGGCCCGGGGAGAACATGAAGCAAGCTCCACACAGGGAGGCCGGAGCTGGAATTGAACCCGGTAGGAGGTCACAATTTAAAACATCAGGTTCAACGTTCTAAATTCGAGCCTTGGGGTGGGGGGGAAGAAGTAGTGTCATTAGTTGTGATGATGTTAACTCTCCTGCAATGGCAATTTTTCAAAAATGCGTGGCTCAATGATCATTTGATTAATCGTGGGGGTGAAGCCGGTCAATTCACCTTCTTTTTTTTGTTTTTTTTTTCTTTAAATGCATATATGTCTTTTTATTTGTTGTTGCTCGTTGTTTGTAATGTTTGTTTACTGGCTAACGAGAATATAATAGCTATCGTCATGTTTTTGGTCACCTTTATGAATTAAGGGTTCGTTTCAGCAACAGGTGGATTTTTTTTTCCTGAAACCTCATAGCTATAAATTACATGTGGTGGAATCCATATTGCGCAAGCTTTTTATCTGCCAAATTTAAAAGCCTAAAATGAAAATATCTTTAAAAAAAAAAAAAATTCCCTTTTTTTTTTTTTTTTTTTTAAATCCACATCAAAAATACCTTTAGGGGCACATAAAGCGATCTCTGATTCAAATTTGCTGTTGACCAATTTTATTCGGCATTATTTGTATCGCCGGACATCTGACCCAACATTTCACATGGCCGAACATTCGGCCTTTCCCCAGAGCGTCACGATCCTTCAATGCGGAGTCTTCCGCAGTGATGCAAACAAAAAGCCAGTGAGCAAATCAATAGCGGATGACCCGGAGGACGCTGAAGGCGGAGCGAGGCGGCGTGGACCAGCCATCCATGAAGGCCAGATGTTCCTTGCGTCTCCAGGCTCCTGCGGATTTTCTCAACGCCGCAGCAACTCCCAAGCGGATCTGCTGTGTTTGCCTGTTGAGGTGATTGTGGCGCGAATATCTGAGCCCAACTCATTGGGATTTTTAAAAAATTTTTGAGGCAAATGCCGATTTTTAGCAAGCTCGCGTCGGCAAACATCGTCAGTTTTGGCCGACGTTTGAAGGGCCATAAATGGCCGATTTAATCGGCCGGCCGATGAATCGGTCGAGCCCGACTGCTTGCCTTCTGTGTCATAAAGGGGATGGGGGAATCCCCCCCATACTCCCGCCGCCTGCAACTGCATTTGTATGTGAGCGGTGGAGCCAATGTCAAGTCTGTCCAACATCTGTGCGAGCAGCTGTTGGGTGCTAAATACATCATGTAGAAATTGAATGCCCCGTTCTTGAAATTAACAAGAGGTTCAGTAGAACTCTTCGGGCATTCCTAATTTGATGCTTTCCGTGACATGTGGCGAGTGGTGAGCTGTCGCTTGTATTTTCTTCATTTCAGTGTGTACGCGTGTGTTGGGCGTTCCCCTTTTTGTCCAATCAGATGTCAGTTTTGACGTGTTGCCATGTCAATCTTGAAATACGAGTGACCCGACGAGCATTGAATGGTTTGCTAAAGTTGCTTTTCGTTGTTGTCAAAAATGTCGGTCATAAGATGAGTTGACTTGGTCGGCTGGATCGGATCTGCGAATGGTTTGCGTTTTATGCGGACTCTTTGATCAGTTGTAATTTGCCGATCGATCAATGATCGATCACTCCAGGGATGTTCTCCTCTGGCATTGGTAATAATCAGAAATATCACAGCCTATACAGTCTGTTTTTTTTTTTCACATGCCACTCCACCCCGCCCTCACAATATTTTCACATAATTTTGGGATTTCTGTGTATTGAATTTTCATCGCCGCTTTTGGCCAAATTTCTTGGGTTTCATTCCCCGCCCTCTCCACTCCCCCCAATGCATTTCAATGGCTGTCAATTACACACAAGTTGTTGAAACAAATTGGATAGATTGGTCCATCTTCTGATCGGGTCGGTGATCAGTTATGCTTTTTTTTTTCAGCTCCAAAATCATCCTGATCCTTCTAACCACCACCTGGTTACCCAATCCTTGTTAGCTTTAACTCATCAGTGTGTGTAGTTTTTACCCTTCGTTGAATCGGAATCTTGACCCAACTTGCTGAGTCAAATCATCAACCCAATGAGCTGGGTATAAATAACTCGTCTGGGTCCCTTTAGGACCCAGCGCTGGTTTAGCTATTTAAGACAATTTAGGTCACTTTTGACCCGGCAGTTTGAAGAGTGGAATATTGAGGCTTGTGATTCTCATGGCATGAAGAAATATAGTCTGGTAAATCGCTGCTAAAGGGTCGCCCTGTAGTGCTGCAGTGCACAACGGAGGCTGTGCGGCCACAGGTGGTTAAACTGCTCCGAGCTTCATCGGAGGTCACTCGTGAAACCGATTTGGAAAGGGCCGCGTGCTGCCCGCTGTTGACGTACCGTCGGGATTGGCGCAGATGAAGACGCGGACGCTGCGGCCGCTGGGAACGTGGTGCGGCGGCAGGGCCAGGACGTTGCCGCTGATGGCCGCCCTGCGCAGCGCCGACTCCCGCGGGCAAGGCTGCCGGCTGCCCACTCCCGACGGCCACATCGGGGTCGACTTCCAGCGTGGCTGCGCACAAACAAACGCGCGCATTAGTGCGCGACAGACGTGCGCGGCTCACCCGATGAACTAACTTGAAGGAGGAAAAAAAAAAATGTGATTGAATTTGGCCTCGAGATGCCGTGGGGGGGGGGGGGTCACATGCAAACAGCAACGAGATGTCACGGTGCATGCGTAACGTGTGTGTGCACGTCCTCGGACGCATGCATGGGTTTTCACGCTTAACGGACAAAAAGGCAACAGGACGACATATAACTGGAACGGACGAGCAAGGCAAGCATCGGCCGTTTTCGCACACCCCTGGGAGGATGCTTGCAAAACCGAATAACCACCGAGGGTGCTTATTCCGCCGGGAACAGGTGCAAGCAAGTCGCCGGTTTTCCAAGAGTTGCTCAATCCGGCGATGTTTGTTTGAAAAAAAAAAGAGGGGGAGGGAGGGGAAAAAAGGACGAAAAGTTGTCAGATCAACTCTACATGAAAACCCCCGAAAGGGGACAACTAAAAGCAGCGAGGCGCCGCATCCAGGGACGACAAGTGATGCCGGAGTCGGGGCTCAACAACGGTCTTGGTGCTCACATTCATCCGCTTCATTTCGCCGCTTCCGGTGAGATCCGAGCGTCGAGGGCGACAAAAGCACGACAAAAACGCCCATCGGGGTGGTCGTGGGACGGGAGGACTGTCGCCGCTCGCTGGGCTGCACCCCGCCGCATCCCGCTGCCTCTGCGAGTCGACCGAGCTCTGGCTGGCGCCGAAAGAGACGTCAGCTAGTCCACAATAAAGGCGGAAGTCGAGTGGCTTTTCAAAATAAAGTTCAGATCGCTTTGGGGGGAACACTCCTCGGGGGCGACACCTTTGGATAAGGAAAGAACTAGCGTGTTTTGCCTCGTTAACGTATTATGCACGCAAAATGTCGAGTTCCACGGTAGAAAAATCTTTATTTCAGCCATTGTATTTTTGGCGCTGTTGTTTTACTTTGAAAGCAAAAAATAGGTTGTGATCAAACTTAGATTTGGATGTCAAACTTGATATCGGAACATTCGAGTTGATAACCCAACTGTTTCAAACCAGTGGCGGGCAGTGGGTTCGTTATTACTACAACTACCACCTGTAACACGTTGCAAATGTGCAAGCCTTATGATACTCTCCAAAAAAGCAAAATAACAGCAAGTGCTCATTTATGAAGGGCTAAGTTCAACAAGTGGATTTTTTTTTCTGAAAGGTGATAGCTATAAATCACAACATATGATAAGATTCATATTGCACAAGCGTTTGTTGGTCAAACTTAAAAAAAATATATCTCAAAAATCTGATGTGCTAGGACAAAAAAAGTCAAGACGTGTTTTTTTTCAATCAGCATGAAAAATGCAATTAGGGACACTTAAAGAAATGTCTGATGAAAATTTTCTGTTGATTAGAGTTATATTTAACGAGAGCATAGTGTAAAGTAACTCAGCTATTGAGATCTTGCCTCGAGAGCTAATGGCAGAGTGGAAACAAGAGTCTTGTGCGGAGTCAAATTCAGTATAAACCCAGTAGGGCTCTGAGATCTGCAGACTCGGTTCAATTCACGGCCTGAGATCAAAGTAAACATGGTGAAGTAGCTGTTATGCTGCTTGCATGGAAATGGAATAAGCTGCCAGGAGGAGTAAAATCATCCGCGAGAGTAAAGGCGTTTAAATCCAGTTTAAAAACAATTTCTCTGCTCGTATCATTTAGGTCTTTCAAAGCATTTTTTAAATCCTGTTCTCCAGATTCATGTTCGTGCAGTCTACGTTCCGTTCGTAATTTTAGTTAGCCACTCTTAGTTCTTGACTTTGGGTGTTAAATGTCATTAATTGTTTGGTTTGTAAAAAATGTTTTGCTTTTAATGACTTAAAGCAGATTGCGATATAAATATAGCTGCCTTGCCTTGCCTTGCTGCTCCTCAAACATTCGTGCAATGTGGTTAACGTTGGCAAGCAGATCGCTCTTATTCATGCTTGCAAAATCCTCTCGCAACATCCGAGCACATTTTGTTTCTTCACTCGGGATTTGGCACAAAAAGAAAAAAAAAAACAAACCGCTGGTGCATTAATGCATCTTTCCTCCCCCAGTGTTTACATTCACACGTCCGATAACACTCCTAGCAAAGCCAAAACCCAGGAGACCCCGCAATGGATTGAAAGCTCGGCGTTGCTGGCTGTCAGATCAGTGGAATCGGAGTTCAGGAAAAGCAACCCTGTCCGCGATAAAATAGACTGCATTTGTTTCGAAGGCGGCTTGAAACTCCGCCGCTTCTCTGTCTCCTTTGTTGGCCAGACGGAAGCTCGTCAAAAGTTATTTTGTGGCTATTTTCCCAGCCGCGAGGAGCTCCTTTCATCGCTGCCCAATTAAGCACTTTTGTTTGAGCTCCTGCTGTGACCTTTGCTGCTAATTGATTTGTCGAGGAAGGAGCGTAACGCTCCGCCGTGCGCGCCTCTTCTCTCTCTCATTGCCTGGAAACTTGACGCAGCGTTATTTCACTCGTGAGTCATTGTAGTCGTGTCAAATGCACTCGCCGCTTTCTCGGCATATTAAAGCGTCAGGTTGCCAAGTAGAAGCCGGACAGTAATGGTCTGACACTGTACCTTCAAGTCAAAGCTCTCTGCTCAGTTTTCTGTCGCCGCCACCACGTCGACTGGCAGTCGGCCGCGTAAAACTCCTCCAAACCGTCGGGCGGTTGAAATCATTCATTAACCCTTTCATGCACCAATAATGATAACATGGCAGCGCGGGCACCCGCAGCGGCTCCTCTTGGTGTCTTGTTGTCTGGTTGAGAGGGAAGAAATTTAATCTGCGTTGGATGTGCAACATTTGACAATAAAGTTGTTCTTGACTTGACTTGACTGTAACCTGATGACATGATCAGCTGTCCACTGTAGTAACCGCTGTCCCTGAAAGGTTAAAAAGAACAAAAAAAAACTAATAAGAAGCTCTGCTGGCTCAAAATTAGTTGACTACGTCGTCCAAAGACCGAATTTGAAGGCCACGTGACAAAACTTCCGGTGTGCCTCGAAGCGCAAGCTGGTGTCCAAATTCACGCCGCCTTCGAATCTAGTCTACAAATCTGGCCTTCGTTTCCATGGAGACGGGGCCCTGAGCGGAGGCTGCTTCGGACGACACTTTAGTAGCTTCAATTGCTCCTGTCTTCCTCCACGGCACTCTACGCCGCTCTTCGTCAACACTTCAACATCTCTTCGGCCGGTTGAGCACGTCGCCGCCATCTTGCAGCTAACATACGATAGTCAAGTGAGGGTCGCTAGGCCTGTCAAAATTCGCCGCGCTTTATGCGATCCCCCGAGACGACAAGAGGAGGAGCCTCCAAAGGACCCAGTTGGCCGGGAAGAGGTCAAGTACAGCGGCGTGATTGATGAGAGATGAGTCCTAATTTTGTGCTGCTGCTAAAACTAAACAACAACCCAGGCAAGCCAGGGATCAGTGCTTTTTTTTTGCGCAACTTGCTGTCCGAAAAGCAAAATTAGCAAAGGTGGAATTGATCCCTGAGTGGACGAATACATTTCCTTGGTTCCATGACACCGGCGATACCGGCACCTAAAAAAAAAACAACGATCAACAGTACCTCGCCATTGAGAGCCGTCGTTCCCCGAGTTGAAGTTGGCGCTCATCAGCAGCTGCAACAGAGACCGGAAGAGTCTAAGAAAGGCAAAGAGGTCATCCACGCTTGAAAATGTTCACGGCTAAAAAATGTAGATTTTGCAAACCGGTTTCAAGGTTTTTCAACCAAAGCTTTTTACGAACAGTGCGCGTCACAATTCTTTCACGCGCCTTCATTGCGCTTGCTGAGTTTCTTCTCATGAAACCTGCAGCCACTCAAGTGTCAAGCATCACAGCTAATTGCGATTGTCTTGAAAAGTCATTCGGCTTCAGCAAAACGTTCCGGTGGCCGTTGCGCCACACGCAGGAGTAACGTATGTCTCACAGAGGAGGATTGCGCTCTGATCCACACTCGCTCCCCGCTGATCCCAACTCATTCAGATGTCGTCCTCTTTGTAGTCTTCTGAGCTTCGCGCGTACGTCTCTTTTGCTTCGACGACGCCTCTGTAGTGCGCACCTTCAAATCTCATCTTCATGAAAAGCTGAAAACGCCATACATACTGTATGTGAGCGTCGCCATGCAGAATTCTCACCGAAACACTGAATAAGAGAGTGGCGCGTTCCCGTGGCTCATCACGCTGTTCTTTACATGTGCTTGAATTTTGCACGTTAGCGCCGCTTGAACCCCCGGCATGGCATCAGCTGCAACTACACCTTTCGTGCGCTGGTACCATGTGTTGTGTCCCATTGAAGTGCTTCTAACTGAACTCATTCAGTGCCAAGGACTTTTTTTGTGTGTTTTTTTTTATTTTTTATTTTTTTTAGAGCCCCAGCATTTAATCCCAGGTACATCTTTATGTATGTTTTTTTCCATGTGATCTGCAAATGGCTTGCACTGAATAAAACAACTTTCAGGGGCTCCACAAGTGGGTCATGGCTGTCAGAAGGCACCTCCAGGACGCATCATAGCGTCGCAGCCTCCTTGGATAGTTTTTCGAGCAAAAGTCTGCGCTGGCTGTCAGGCTGAGAGGGCTAATTGTGAAGGAGTGGCAGATGGTGCAGCTTTTTTTTTCCTCCCCCCTCTTGCACACTCTTGAGTTGCTGATAAAGTGAATGAAAAAGGGAGGCACTTTAGTGGACGGCCAGTGTGGGATTTTTTTTTTTCCTGGCTCAACATCCGTTGGTTCTGGAAAGTAGGTGGAACATCGTGGGACTGAAATTCTTTTGGAAGCGCCACGTTTGGCTTCCCATCTGAAGCATGCCGCAAATGGCAAAGGCACAATGCGAGAAACGAGCGGCTAGGAATAAGCTGAGGGACGCGGCACGCCGTTTATTCCAGGAAAAATTGGAAGCTAATGAGCTCCCGCAGGATGGGAGACACGTTGGCACACCGGCAGATGAGTCTCCAGTGGCTCTCTTGTTAGCCTTAGCTTAGCTCGCCAAATACTCGGGCAGGCCATCGATGCTCTCAAATATAAACCCGCGGCTCGATATTGCTGCCACCTGTCCTGCTTCTATTTCTGATCCAAATTTTAGTTCAAAATTAATTCCAAGATTTGTTTTCATAAGCTGTTTGTTAGCTTCTGAAAACATGTGCAAAAATGGAGAAAAATGTAGCATTCAATCACAGAGGCCAAGATGATTAAAAATGAATCAATCAATAAATACAAGTAAAATTGAAAAAAAGAACATTTTTGTGAATACAATAAGTACGAAAATGCTTTGAAGAAACAAAAACGAACTGAAACAACATGTTATGTTTATAAAAGTAACCAAAACATGACTCTAAATATCGCACAAATGTCCCACGCTTTTGTGCTAGTCAATTAATACCACACAGAAGCTTCCGGAGTTGATTTTAAATACAAATAAACACATCGTCCATGCAGAAGAAGGGCCAAACAGAGAGATGTTCTTTACTATTTTATCCAATACTTAGTGAACTTTTTTAAACCTTGCCCTTGACCAACATTCTCTATATTAAAAAAAAAACTCATACTAAAACTAATAAAACCAAAACAAAAATGAAGCATTTTTGAAAATCTAAAAACTTGCTCTCAAAACTAATTACAACTAACCTGACTTAAAGACGAAATAAAATCAAAACTGACGAAAATTAATACAGTACTCCAAAACCAGGATACACTTAGCGGGGACAGAGCGCTAAACTCTTTTTCATTCTTTCAGTTTTCATGATATTTTTGAGGGGGCATGGCTAAAGCTGTCCGAGTGATACATTGCCCCCCCCCCCCCCCCGACCCACCAACACACACATTAAACAAGAACTTGAGTGCCATCAGCGGTTATCTGGCCCAAGTGGAACGTACAGTTAGCTAGCTTGCTAGCTATACCTTCACCCCCAAAATGTGTCAACATAATGCGCATTTAAACTCT